AAGCATACTTGTGAGTCTTTGTTTTGACATACATTTTCATTTTGCTTAAATAAATGCCTAGGAATATGATTGCATCAACAGTATATGTACAACCAGTCCAGCCAGGCACATGGTATGTGTATATAACCAGAACCATAGTAAATTCCATTTCTCTCTCTCTCTCACACACACACATATACACACAAGTACATGTCTGTGTTTTCTAAAATGATTGAATCATTTTTAAAAATACACTTCAGTTTTTAGAGCTGTTTTAGGTTCACAGCAAAATTGAGCTTAAACTACAGAGTTCCCATATAGTCCCTGCCCCTTCACATGCATAGCCATCCCCACTATCAACATCCCACATCAGAGTGGTACATTTTTTACAGTCGATGAATCTATACTGCTATAAACATCACATACTGGTTTTTGTGTGAACAAAATTTCAGTACTTGGATAAGTACTAATTTGTGCAATTGCTGGGGTGCACGGTAAGAGTATGTTTTTTAAGAAATGCCCAAATTGACTCCAACCATTTGCATTTTGCAAAGGTACCAACCATTCTGGCCATTTTGCATTCTGGCCAACAGTGAATGAGAGCTCTCATTCTACATTCTGGACAGCATTTGGTATTCTCAGGGTTTTGGATTTTAACTATTCTAGTGGTGTGAATTAGTGTCTCATTACTTTAACTTGAATTTCCCTAATGAAATATGATGTGAGCATTTTTTTCATATGCTTATTTGCCATCTGTATATTTTCTTTGGTGAAGTATCTGCTAAGATCTTTAGCTTATTTTCTAATTGGGTTATTAGTTTTCTTATTGTTGAGTTTCAAGAGCTCTTTATATTTCAGATAACAATCTTTTTAAAGGATATGTATTTTGCAGATATTTTCTCCTAGTTTGTGGCTTGAATTCTCATTCTCCTGACAATACCTTTTGCAGAACAGAAGATTTTAATTTTTTTTCACCCTTTAAATTTTTTATTTTGTATTGGGGGTATAGCCAGTTATCTGCTATTCATTTCTGATTTATTTATATTTTTGATATGAACATAAATTGTACAACTTAATTCTTTCTACTCTGATGAATGTTGACAGCTTCTAAGCCCCACCCATCTCCCTTCCCCTTCTACCTACACCTGAGAAAACTGGTAAGAAACCCCCGGTGATCCCTCCTTTATAACTAGTGGAAATTTTGAAGTATGTACAGGGTTCCTTGGCCTGGCCCCATCCCTAATCACCGTAAAAAAACTGGAAATAGAACTGCCATGTGACCCAGCAATCCCACTTCTGGGCATACACACCGAGGAAACCAGATCTGAAAGAGACACATGCACCCCAATGTTCATCGCAGCACTGTTTATAATAGCCAGGACATGGAAGCAACCTAGATGCCCATCAGCAAATGAATGGATAAGGAAGCTGTGGTACATATACACCATGGAATATTACTCAGCCATTAAAAAGAATTCATTTGAATCAGTTCTAATGAGATGGATGAAACTGGAGCCTATTATACAGAGTGAAGTAAGCCAGAAAGATAAAGAACATTACAGCATACTAACACATATATATGGAATTTAGAAAGATGGTAATGATAACCCTATATGCAAAACAGAAAAAGAGACACAGATGTACAGAACAGACTTTGGGACTCTGTGGGAGAAGGCGAGGGTGGGATGTTTCGAGAGAACAGCATCAAAACATGTATATTATCTATAGTGAAACAGATCACTAGCCCAGGTTGGATGCATGAGACAAGTGCTCCAGCCTGGTGCACTGGGAAGACTCAGAGGGATCGGGTAGAGAGGGAGGTGGGAGGGGGGATCGGGATGGGGAATACATGTAAATCCATGGCTAATTCATGTCAATGTATGGCAAAACCCACTACAATATTGTAAAGTAATTAGCCGCCAACTAAAAAAAAAAAAAAAAAACCCACTCTGGTCTCTTTTAAACACTAGTGAACCCGCTTGGGAGGCCTGCCCTGCTCTTTCCAGAAAGCCCTGTTACGTGAATAATGTCATTTTCATACCATCTGTGTGTGTGTGTGTGTCTGTGTGTCTGTGTGTCTGTGTGTCTGTGTGTGTGTGAAGTCATCAGTCTCAACAGTGGAACTACATTTTGAGTGAGGGTGTTCACAATAATTGGTGTTGTGAGCAAGATGTCTAGATGATGACTGCTATCACTGGGATCTTTCTTGTTTTGGCTTGCAGCATGGCAATATGCACTTTGAGCTTCAGCATTCTGGCTAGTGGGCTCTTTGAGCTGTGTTGCCACCTTCTGTCAAGCTTGCACTTCAGGTGTACTGCTTTGTGCTACATTTACTGAATTCTATCACGGCCTCTGTTATAGACTTAGCTGACCTATATCAGAAGCTTCAGTCACTGTCATTTGGAGATGATTATGCGACTGGAGCCCTCCTTAAAGTGTCATGTGTCTAAGCCCAGACCTATCTGTATGTCTCATATTGAATTGTGTTTCTTAATTCCTTTATAAACAATGACTGACGCCAAGCTCAAGGGAATGACTCTTGTCCTGTGAAGACTTTTGAGTGTCTTAAGCAGGCGTTGGCCCGCATTCTATGAAGCACTCAGGGGAAAGACTATGCAATATATGATCCTATCAGGTGATCACTCATTGGGTGGAAGAGCAATTACACTGTAGCGTACGGAGACCACACTCTTAAAGGTAAATAGTGTACGAGAACCCTACAAAATGCTTTGCTGCTGCTGCTGCTGCCTATGCCTCTGCTGCCAAGAAAATCTTCTTCTTGCATTTGTATTTCCCCACATACAAAATTGTATTTTCCCAAGGAAAATACACTGGGCACCCTGGTCGCACAAGTAAGGGGTTAAACCAACTGTGGGAAAAGTCTCAAACCCTGATGATACTGATTTGAGGCCTTATAAATTTATAGATATGAGCAGGGTAGCAAAAATTCCTCTCATAAGTAAATCTAGTAACCCTAGAAAAGAGAGGGGGCATGGCAAGGGAGGGAAGAAGGAAGTGGGAGGAGAGGGAAGGAGAGAGGGAGGAAGGAAAGAAGAAAAGAAGAGAATCAGAGTGAGGAAGCAAGGAAAGAAATAAACCTGAAAACAGGGGGAGGAAACAAACAAAAATACACACACACACACAATTTGATCCAATTGGAAATCGAAATTTACGAAAAGAATTTATGCATCAAAAAGATCAAAAGGGATGTGTACTGGCTCTGCACCACTACCACATAGGTTCTAAATTGACTTTAATGTCTGCGGAAATACAACAGTGGGCCCAATCTTCATGGCCTTAATACATACTGGAGCTCAAATTATACTGGTAATCTCACTAAATTTAAACAAGTTTCCCCTGTAATCTTGAGGAAGTCATTGAACACCAAAGAGAGAGCAAACAAGTACACCGCAGCTTAATTATCAGAACTACTGACTTGCCTCAATTTCACATGATCTTACCACTCATTGCTCCCCGCCCCCAATATATCTCACAGTAGTCATGGATACTCTGATCCAATGAGCAACACACTAAAATTAAATTAAGTCCTGACACTTAAAAACTGGCTTGTCACAATAGGACTCCATGAACTTTTGGGTATAGTTAATATGCTCCAGTGTAAATGAAAACAGGGCCTTCAAAAAGTGAAACCCATTATAGGGAATATATTTAGAGAAGGGGTGATTATGCCCACTGTTTCTCCATTCAACAACTCAGTTTGGCCTACTTTTAAACTTGAGAAGAATAAAGATGCCTCACAGTGGGTTACCAAAATCCTAATCCCATTGTCATACCCGTTAAGGTCCCTACCCAATATTTCTGAAATTGTTGGCTCTGTTCAATCAGCAAGTGGTAAATATTTCACTCTTGCATATTTGGCTGATAAATGTTCTGTTCAGTGCCCATTGCAACAGCCTCTTTGTCACAGTGCTTTTATCTCTGAAGGGGCACAATCCATCTCCCTCCACATGCTGGTGGGGTACCTCAGCAACCCTGCCATCACACAGTCTTTGCAGGCAAGATCTTAAATGCATACCAGAAGCACAGGCATGACATTGCACTGATGAATTCCTGTTCGAAGAGATTCATTAAACACCCTCATTTAGGATCAGCAAAGACAAGCTCATGAAAAGAGGATGGGCCATGATCCCGCACATAGTGCAAATTCTTCCCACCTCCATTAAATTCCTGAAATTATTTGCTAATCCGAGAGCCCCTGCATCCCTGACACTAAAAAGGAACTATAAACTACTGACCCTGTAAGCACCCACATTATTAGAACAGGACCAACATCTATAAAAGGTATCTATATACCTTTTGGAAGCTACAAGACAACAAATTACTCATTTACAAATTTGACTTAAGCCATTGTGCAAAATCAGCCCACCTTGAATGGGCCCCCCTCCAACAAACAGCTCTACAATCTATACAAGCTACAAGTCAAGGAAGCTTCCCCTTCGTGCCCTCCAGAGAGTCCTTCATCCTAGAGGCTTAAGCATCCCCTTCTCATGCCTCCTGGGGTCTCTGGACCACCCATAATGGTTACTTTCCTTTCAAGGCCATTCTGTCCCCCTGTGAATCAAAGGAACCAATCACATCTGGACAGATGGACCCTCAGTGAATATCTAGGTTGGGTGTAGATCTTGAAAAAACAGTCCTTCCCAACAGCTTATATTATGAAAGCATTTTATTGAACACATTCTGGAGATAGTCAGACCAGATGGGATTGGGGTGAGGACACCGTTTTGATGGTTTAGATACTGGAAAACATTGGATTCTTCTGTCACCAAGGACCAGGCTATAGAGACTCAAAGGCTGTTTGGGAGCAGAGCATAGAATCGGGACACAGCAGGCTAGAGACTGGGGGTTGGGCCTTCCAGGTACCAAAGAATGTGGGTCTGCGATAGGCTTCATTGACTAGACCCCAGAAAAGGAGAAAACTTGGCTTGAGAGACCACCTAGAAGAGATGGATGCCACGGCTGGCTGCTGGGCTTGGGAGGCAGTGACTTGCTGCAGGCTCTTAGCTCTTGAAGCTCTTCCGAGAAGAGGAGGTGGTGGAGACAAATTTGACGCTGGAGCTGCTGCCCCCACCACTGCCAAAGCCCAAGCTCCGGCCACTGCTTGCACTGAAGCCAGAGCCCCCAACACTGAGCCCACCGCCTAGGCCAACACCCCCACCGCTGCTGGAGTAGAAACTGCCACTGCTGCCTCCGCCCAGACCTCCGCCCAGGCCTCCGCCGAGGCCACCGCCAAGGCCACCTCCAAAGCCACTGCCACCACCGTAGCCTGAGGAAACGGTGTTTGTGACGACAGCTGCAGAGAAAGGAGGGAAAAACTTGGTGAGACCAGGCTGGCAGATTGGTAATATGCATCTAATTTCTTTGATCCTGCTGCTGTGAGCAATGTATGTGGCCCCTTTTACTCAGCTGCAGATGAACCCCAGAAGAACTAAGTCATTTAGTGAAGCTCCCTAATAGAAAGCTGGTGAACACAATAAGCAAGGGATGGTGCTAAGTCGCCCAAGGGAATGGGGGTCAGGGCAAGGCTGGGGGACAGAGTCCAAGATGAGTAAGATACAGGCCACCCTTTAGGAGATAAGACATGAGCCCTGTCGCTTCCTGTCTCAACCTGTGTTTTTGTCCCTGCACCACCTGCTTCTCACCAAGTATATTAAACAACCATTTGGGAGATGGGTGTGTCTGGTAGCTAGAAACAGCAGGACTTTGAGTCGCACCAAATACCCTGTATTGTCATCATTGTTAATATCTGTTCAAAGTTACTTACAGATGTTGACTGGTCCAACTCCTTCTCCACTCAGTCTGAAAGGGAAAAATTGAAATAAGAATTACAATCCCCCCAAAAGACAGCAGTAGTCTATGTGGATAACTCCTGTAGTCATGTTTAGAGCTTGTTCTCTGAGCTAGGAGACTGCATGCCTGAAAAACTGCTTAAATTAGAGAAAGAGATAGCTCTCTGGAGAGACTTCCCAAAGGAATAGGTCTCAAACTAGGCACAGGTTATCAAAGGAAGATTATAATTCACACTCTCCTCTACCCATTACATGGAAAACGTGAGGAAGAGGCTGTGTGAACTGTGCATATGTATGAAGCAGTTGTTGCCTTATAGAAGCTACATCCTGTGAGAAGACTTGGCTTGGACAGAGATACGTCAAGGAGGAAGTAGGCAATGGGCAGTATCAGAAGACTGAAGAAAATGCAATCGTTTGAGAATCCAAAGGCAGATGAGTTTAACTCAACTGGAGTAATCATGAAAGGCTTCCTGAAGGAAGAAGCACTTGAAGAATGAGAAAGACATGTGTGGGGTTGCTTAGTTGTTTGAAGGAGAGGCAGCATCGAAGAATACTGGTGGTGGGTCAGAAAAGTGAGGTGAGGTCACATTGTGTAGGTCACCTGTATGTCCAAGTGTCAGATTGGGCTGGTTTGGATCATTGGGTTCATGATGGATAATCATCAGGTACAAGGTAGTGGCCACCTGTGTGTGTATTTTGACACCCGGTAGTGAAGTAGAAGCTCTACTTTATCAAACGTGAGGCCACTGTGGGTTCGTGATGTCACCCACCTGCACTCCTCGCCCTCCAGCAGCTTCCTGTAGGTGGCGATCTCCACGTCCAGGGCCAGCTTGGTGTTCATCAGCTCCTGGTACTCCCTCAGCAGACGTGCCATGTCCTGCTTGGCCTTCTGTAGGGCGTCCTCCAGCTCTGCCAGCTTGCTCCTGGCATCCTTGAGGGCCAGCTCCCCGCGCTGCTCAGCGTCAGCGATGGCGTTCTGCAGGTTGGCACACTAGAGGGGAAGGAAGGAAGGGTGGGGACACTGTAGAGGCTCACCTGGGCCTAAGGTGTCTCTTTCTGAGATTGCAGCGAGAAGCCAGCACATTTGCCCTGGTCACTGTGGAGGTGGAACACTGCAGTGCTGGTACCTGCTCCAGCTCTGGGTGTTTATGTTTAGAAAGCAAAACAAAGTCAGTTCCCCTTTAAGAACTCAAGCTCCTTCCCTGTCTTCTTTCCCTACCTGTTTCTTAACGTTGTCAATCTCGGATCTCAGCCTCTGGATCATCCTGTTCATCTCAGAGATCTCATGCTTGGTGTTACGGAGATCATCGCCATGGCGACCTGCAGTCTGCTGCAGCTCCTCATACTGATGCCAACGGAAAAGAAGAAAGAGTCCATTACACGAGTGTGGAAACACTTCCCCAAGTTCACAGGTAGGAGCTACCACAAGGTGGTAAGTGGCATAGTTTTGGGGAGCCTGGAGCTGGTCTTAGACGGTTTTCTCTTTAGCCCCTTTGCTTTTCTGTAGACACTGGTGTGAAACTCAGTGAGAGTCTCTTTAAGGTTCTTGAATTTATGTGGCAGATGTATGCATGTCTCATAACTCCTCCCAATAGGCCTCAGCAGGTCTCAGGAGCCCCATCCTTAGCCTTTGGTCAAGGCCTGGAATCCTCGACGTGTGTCCTTCCCTCATTCAGGACACTTGGCCACAGCACCCACCTTGGTCTGGTACCAGGACTCAGCTTCTGTGCGGCTGCGGTTGGCAATGTCCTCGTACTGGGCCTTGACCTCAGCAATGATGCTGTCCAAGTCCAGGCTGCGGTTGTTGTCCATGGACAGGACCACGGATGTGTCTGAGATATGTGTCTGCATCTGGGACAGCTCCTGCAGGGAGATTTGAAGTCAATCATGTGAGTCCATTTTATTTAACATCATTCCATTCAAATCTTCTATTCATTGTCCTATGTCAACTTGAGAAGAAAAATAATAACCTCCTACCTATTAATGAAAACCTCAGGTCAGTTAATAAATAATTTAAATCACTACTAAATCTATACTGTAAATGTAATAACTCTGAACATCAAGAAACCCCTACCATGTAACCTCTCAGACTTGACTCTTCTTAGGTTAAAACTGATCTGAAAAGAACCTGATGGTGTGGTTTGCCATGCTGGGAGTTGGCAGAGAAAGGATGGTATTCCAGAAAGGGGAGATGGCCAGGAAAAGTATACCTGGGCTTCTAATAACTCACTCTAAATCTCACTCTGCAGACTGATTATTGTAGAGGTCTTTTGCTTTAAATTTGACTTAAAAAAAAGAGAGAGAGAGAATTAGCTTTATTAAGTAATAAAGTGTGAATAGTACTGAAAGAGTAGAAAAAACAAATATATGCCCATGCCATAGGAACCACTGAAAGTCACTTAATCCTAGAGACCCTAATTCCTGGTGATGTCCCAGTGACCATCTGTCTGGCTCCTGAACAGGGGACATTTCTTACCGCATCAAAGAACATCTTCATGAAGTTGATCTCGTCCATCAGTGCGTCGACCTTGGCCTCTAGCTCCACTTTGTTCATGTAGGCAGCGTCCACATCCTAGAGAAACATGGATGGTTGGCACTGCACCCCATTTCCACCCTGACTTAAATGAGCAACACCTTAAATGAGCATAACCACAGGCGACAGTTTCTCTGCTACCCACATACCTTCTTCAGCATCACAAACTCATTCTCGGCAGTAGTACGCTTGTTGATTTCATCTTCATACCTGGTGGTAAAAAGGAATGGGAAGTGCTTATCAGAGGATGAGGCCTAGGGCCTATATTGCACATAGTCAACTGTGAGCCTACCTTCCCACTGGAAGAGGCCTCTCACATCGTATAGACAGAGAGGGAGGGACACCGGGAGCAAGAACATTTGGGCAAGCTCCCTACCCATTAGGATGCTGCTTTCTCTGTAATTGCCTAGCAGATAGCTATTCTATTAATGCTGTAATTCAGTCACTTCAGGAACATTCCTGTAGAAAAACTATATGGCTTCATTCAAATTCCACATCTAGTCCATTTCTCTAGTGCTTTATTTTTCAGCTTTCACAGCCTTTGAAAAACAAAAAACTAGCAGCCCAGCTGCTGGGTCATAAGGACTAAAGAAATTGTTTAGTCCTTAGACCAACCTAGGTTATATCATCAGTTCCTGCTTTGAGGGGAATCCATCAAAAAGTCCATGTTGTGTACTTTGAGTGTATTGGGGAGGAAGGTCCCCCAAAGCAAGGATTACATGACTGCTTTTTTCACCAGGTCATGCCAAGGGCCCTGAGCTTGTTACTCTGGATGGAGGCTAAGTATCTTGCAGAGGGACTGAGCTTGCAGCTAGAACTTTCTAAACATGGACCTGATTTTTTCCCAGCACTTTAGATGTCCGTGAAGTGTATCTGCTTTAAGTCCTTGGGAAAGGCATAAGCAGTGGTCTGGTTATAAAGTATATCTGGTGCAAAGACTCGCCCTGTCTCCATTCTACCCCAACTCACTTGTTCTTGAAGTCCTCCACCAAGTCCTGCATGTTCCTGAGCTCTGAGTCCAGGCGGCCTCTCTCCCCAAGGATACTATCCAGCTGTCTCCTGAGGTTGTTGATGTACTGCTCGAACAAAGGCTCCAGGTTCTGCCTCACAGTCTTGGTACCCTGTTCCTGCAGCAGGGTCCACTTGGTGTCCAGGACCTTGTTCTGCTGCTCCAGGAACCGCACCTGGAAGGGGCAGAGTTTGAAGATGGAGACATCTGAATTTCATGTTTCAATGATCAATTTTCCAGTTTTCCTCCCTTCTCATGTTGTCCCCCTAAATCTTCCCATGAGCAGTACTTGGACCTGGGCCAAAGAGGACAGGTCCAGAGTGAAGCATCTAAACTCACTCTTCTAGGACAGACAGGACACTTATTCAGGGCACAAATTCAGGGCCGTGGCTGGGCAAAGAGTGGCCCAGGGCAGGGGTAGCTATAAAGACACTCAGGCTACTGTTCAGTGAACTCATCCACCTTTCTATGCAATCAGCCCCGTTACATGGAGCACAGAATGCATCTCTCTTCCCAACAGCCAGCAAAGAGCCTTCAGGGGGTCAGCTCTGAAGGGGATGAATTAAGGCCCTCTCTTCCAAGCTGCCAGTCTAATTAAGAAAGTGGGCCACAAATCCAGGACACAGAAACAAAGAGAAAAACATGGGAAGATATTGATACAAGGTCAGGAAATCTCCCCTCTTCCCACTTCCTTTAGCACATATCCCACACTTATGGTGGTTTTCCACCGAGAATCAGTTCTCACCTTGTCGATGAAGGAGGCAAACTTGTTATTGAGGGTCTTGATCTGCTCCCGCTCCTCAGTCCTCACCCGCTGGATGGTGGGGTCGATTTGCAGGTTGAGGGGAGTCAGGAGACTCTGGTTGACAGTCACCTCTTGGATGCCTCCAGGGGGGCACACAGGGAAGCCAGCACCACCGAAGCCACCTCCAAAGCCAGCTCCACCACCAAGCCCAAAGCCACCACCGCCAGCTCCACCGCCAAAACCAAATCCGCTCCCGGCTCCACCTCCAAAGCCATAGCCGCCTCCAGCACCAGCACCAAATCGGTTCCTGAAGCCACCTCCGCTGGCACTGATGGAAATCCTCTTGGAGCCCCCCAGGTTGTAGAGGCTCCGGCTGCCAAAGCCACCGGCACCGTAAGCACCCCCGAGGCTGACCCTGCCAAAGCCGCCACCGCCGCCACCCCCAGACCGGGACACGGAGGTGAAACTGGTGCGGGAGACGGACGGGGTGATGGCAGAGGCAGTGCTGAAGCTGCGGCTGCCCCCGCTCCGGAAGGACATAGTTGACTGGCGAGACATGATGGCTGGTTCCTAGAGAAGTTAAGAGTAGCGGGAACTAGCGGTCGGGAGGTGCTGGAGAGAAAGAGCAGAGCAGGACAGGACGCAGAAGGCGGCTCTGTTACCTGGGAGCCGCAAGCCCTGCTTTTATCCTCTAGACCTGGGTTGGGCGGGAGAGTTGTCGAGCTGTGAATGATTAAGTGGGCTGGGCATGCCTGGGGGGCAGCTGTGAGCTCACCGGCACACCTGCGCAGCGGTGTGGGGTGCAAACGCTGTCTTCCTGGCAGGCTCTGCTCAGCTAGGGATAAACTTGCCTCGCAGCCCTGATGTCTTGGCAGCGAATAGGCCATGCTGCCAGCAAATCTTTCTTTACGGCCGGGGCCTAGGGCTGTGAGTAGCCCAAAGAAGGATGCTGGGAAGCAAGGGGGCATGTGGCCAAGGTCCTGAGGGAGCCTTCCAGGACCAGGGATGTCATCAAACATCGCAGCACATTGCACACTGTCCACGAATGGGATGCAAAGCAAGTCCCCCACTGGCAGTGGTCTGCTCTGCTTACTCCTCTAGGGAGAGCTTGCTTCAGGGACTTCAGCCCTTGGAAAACCAGCTGTGGCCTGAACTCTGTGCCAGAGGGGAAAAAGACTTCCATCATTTCCTGCAAAACTCCGTTTCTTAGAGGAGGCACAGTCACACCAGAGTCCACTGGGCAGATTCTCCTGCAAGGTTTGGGCCAGAAAGTCTCCCCAAGAACCAAGTTCCAGAAACAAAGACTGCGGGACACCCTCAGCCCCCGGTCTATCCCACTTTGCTCTCTGCAGGGACAGACCCATCTCACCACAATGCCTCCTAATTCAGCCTTTTCTGCAGCATTGAACTTTTTCCTTGCCCTTTGGCCCAGGCAGGCCCCAGAGGGGGCTTAGCAAACCCAGGACCCCTTCCATCAATCCCTCCCCCAGAATCCTGTGATTCCTCCTGGCAGTCACGTCTCTCTTCAGGGGGAGCTGCTCTGCCCGCTCCCTGGCCCCCCAGGTGTGTTCCAGCAAGCCCTTGGTGATTCCACTAGGGAAGAAATGAGTCATCGTATCTGTTGATACAGGCTGAAGGCTGCCACAAACACATACCTGCAGAAGTTCCTAATCTCGTCAGGAACATGTCGAGAGTCGGCCAGCCTGTTATAACGGCGAACCACCCCGTTCCAAGCAACGGGAATTGCTGGGCTTTCTCTCAGCTCCAGCCTGAACCCTCCTTCAGGGCCAGGGAGATGGAAAAGAAGTTCTAAATCTATGGATCATCCTGCCAGAGAGACTAGCAGGGACAGGTTTGGGTAACCAGGCAGCTGGCCTGACTATCTGCCAGTCGTTTTAGGAAGCACCCTCAGCCCAGCTCCCAGTTAGTCCTCTCTGCAAAGCTTGTCCAGGTGGGCTATGGTATTAGATGGAGGAAAAGGTTGGGTTTTAAAAATTTCTGTCATAAATTACACCCACTCTTTTTGGCTGCAGATCTGAGTGGGGCCTTGTATCTGCCTTGTCAGAACAGAAATAGGAATCTCAGGCAGTGCTTGGGTCATTAAGAGTTGTTGGGGTAGGGGCGATCCCTAGGCTAGGACTGGAGGCAGGGGTAGGGTAGGGATGGGTTTGAAGCCGCGGGACTGAGCGGCTCTGTTCTCATGAGTAAAGGAATAAGGACCCCGCCATGGCTTAGGAACCTCTAGTCAGGGCCTGCAGGCAGCCACAAGGCAGCCACGGCTGTGAGAAAATGACTCGGAGCTGCTGGGGATCAGCCAAGAGGCGATTGTTCACCCGAGGCTGTGATGAGAAAACAGCAGTGGCCAGGTAAATCCAGACAGACAGATCAATGGCCAGAGTTGGCCTTATAAGTCCTGGGCAATGAATGAGGTTTTGTTGCCTCTCTCCCTAGAGAATTCCTGAGGCACTCAAAGGTGACTTTTACAGAGCTTGCCAATTTCGCACTTGCCTCTCAGGGAACAGACATGAGTATCTTGGGGTCCCTGAGACATAGGGGTAAACCCTCATTCCCCGACAGAACAGCAGCGGCTATCTGGGAACTCCTAGCATGAGTCCTCTCTCTCCCCGGGAAGTCACCACCAGGGCATCGTCCCTCCTACTCACCCCCCCCACCCCACCCCCACACACATGACCTGAGTCTAGTCTCCCCTGCCCTTGAGGAAGCCCCAACCTCCCAAGACACTGGGACATTCTTTTCTCTCCATTCCTCTCGTTCAGGAAGGAGAAGGACTTGGGGGAACAGGAATGCATTCTGGCCAGTCTGAGAAGGGCTGGAGTGTGCCAAGTTCAGATTCAGATGCCAGGGACCAAAGGGGTGTGGGTGTCAAATCAATGTGGTCGGGCGTGTTTGGGTGCCTCGCTGGGGAAAAAGCACCTCTCTCTGTGGGAATTCTCCCCCGAGCAGACAAGGCCGCCCCCACACACCCCTTCCCCTCCACCCCCACAATGCCAGAGTGGAGATGCTCCCCTGGGGAACCAGGGACCAGCATCACTGCAGTGTGGGAGAGTCCCACCCCAGGCTGGAATTTCAGCCTGGCAGGAAGAGGGAGATTACACAGAGCTCCCTGAGACTCTCTGCAGGCACCTACAGAGAGAGTTATCAAGGCTTGGCAGGACATAGTAATTAGCTTCTCCAGGCATCATTTTCCAGCAAGAGACGAGTGCAAGACTGAGGGAACTGCAGTGGCTGGCCCTGCTGGTCTCCGTGTCAGAGGGGGACAGGGATGACTGCTCTGTCCATCCTCACGAGGTCTGAGAACACAGAATATGTGCAGCATTTCATCCACAGGGACACATCTCACACACCAGGCAGGGAATAGGATTGGTCCAGGTGACAGTGGAACAAGGACTAGGCAAACCCATGATCCCAGCCCAGGGCTACCTCCATGGGGCCCCCACCAATCTTTGGGTGCCTTTCGTAGAAGACTATGCGATGGATGAATTTAATGGGAAATGGTTTTGCATATGGCCTGCAGGTCTCCCCAGACAATAGACTCCCCCAGTTTAGGGAGCACGTCTGGCTCGCCTTGGCATCGCCACACACTCAGCCCAGCTGCGTACACCAGTACTGCTCAGCAAACAGTTCTGAATTGAATTGACAGATGTAAGGTCATCTCCCTTCCCTAGGTCATTGTGGAAGGCCCTCCCCAGCCCCATCCTGAGTCTCAGGGTCCTGTCCACACACTTCTGTCCCTGGCTTCCTGTCCAGAGAGTAGATCTCTTATCTCCTTTAGCCTGGGCATCCTCTGAGGACAGAGTTCATGACTCTTCATTCCTTGGACTTCCCTTCATCCCCCGCCTCCCGCCCTCAGCCCCAGCCCCCGCATCCCCCTCCAGGAGAGAAAGAAAGAGGCAGTGTCCCCATTTTTGAGAATCTTCTATCCCATGCATGTTCAGCACAAAGAGTGGGGAACAATGGTTGAGGCATGAGTCATCTATTCATTGGATGACGGTTGGCAGCCTCATCCGAGAGTGCTTGGAGCCAGATCCAGCAAGATGGGGAAGGGCGGACGGAGCCCAGAGCCAGCCTTCGCGACTCCCTACAAAGCCCTAGCCTCGGGGAGGAACTGAGGGAAGAATTCTCCTGCCTCCACCCAAAGTCGGCGGGAACTCTGGGTCCCAGCTTTGATCTCAGATTCAGGATTTTCAGAACTGCAGGGGCAGAGAGGAGATGCCCCTCTGTGGACAGTGGGATGAGGAGGATCCTCCATCCCTCCCCACGTGACCACCGCTGGTGGCGGCTGCCTTGTGATGCTTCAAGTGTTACCCTGCCTCTCTAGGACTCTCCAGAGCCCACATCTGAGAAGAGGCCCGGGTAGAAATGCAAAAATCTACTAGAAAAGGAACCAGTCTCTCTTGGTTTTGAAGCAGCTGTGGAGGGGTACCCTATTACCATTATTTGGATCATGGTGACAAGGGGGCCTTTGGACGTGAATACAAATTGTGGGTCCCAGCATGGGTACAAAAGCCCACGGCCCCACCCTGTGCTGGGCCTTGGTCTTAATACAGCCTTTGAATTGCTGGAACCCAGGACAGGAAGCCCAACATCTCACCTCGGCTTCCCTCACTGGTGTTGGGAGAAGCAGCAGAAAAAGGGTCTTCGCTCACTGGAGGAGGAATTGTAATTTGAAGCTGGCCGGGATTGGCAGGAAGGGTGGGGCCCACATGCAGGGGGTTGTGGGGAGCAGCCTCAGCCCCCACCTTTCAGGCTGAGTGAGAGATTGGCTCTTGTGGGGTGAGAGCCACACAACAGAGCTCTCAGACTCCCTCCGACAGGTCCCTGCAGGTCTGTGGAATGTTCTTCCTTCACTGGAAGGGTGTTTTGCCAATGGCATACCAAAGTCTTTGAAAATCCCCCTTGGTTGGTTGAAACTATGGGCTGGAAATCAACAAATACTTTAATTAGTCAGAGGGACTAGAAAAGGGATAAGCAGGAAAAACCTCTGGGTTTTGCTTTCTCATGGAGGGAGGTTTTATTTTTCTTTTAATAAACCCTCATAAAAATTCCTGTACATTGGACACTGTCCTACAAACTCTGCATCAGTGAATCTAAAATTGCAAAGAAGGGCTTTTACCATTTTTTTGGCCTTTGCTTTGTTCCTTACACGTGGGTGTGGGTATACCCGATCCTCTGGGAGTCTGCAGACTTTCTCTACAATGGAGAGACGGGGACATGATTCATTCACACCAGGCTTCTATCCTTACGGGGTCAGAGGCATGCCGGGAAACTTTTTCACACCCTTAACCTCTCCCATGGCTTTTCCCCCTGCTTCTTTCTACCCCCAGCATACTATCAACTTGTCACCCAGGGATGGAAAGATGGTGGTGATGAGAGCTGCTTGGTGGACAGCTTCCTCATCCTAAGGACGGAGGCCCAGGTCCAGGGACCGAGTCTTTGTTTCCATCTCCAAGGTGTTGAGCTCCCATCACTGGGGCATGAGTACAGATGGTGATGATATGATTTGGGGGAAGAAAAAGAGACAACAGTGCAGAGCTGGA